GACTTTATTTCCTGGCCTCTTCCTGCCTTGAGGAGAGTAGCTTGCGGTTGGGGGACAGAGCTTGTGTCCAGGGGCAAAGCTTGTGTCTGGTGCAGAGCTTGAGTGCCAGAAAGCTCCATCCCTGTTCCCTCTGGCCCCAAGCACCTCCCTCCATAATTAGGTATTAGGGCTCTCTCTCCAGCCCCAAATGCTGTGGCCCACCGGGAAATTTCCCAGTATCCCAGTTCAGCCCTGTTTTGTTAGTGTGTATCTGAGTGTTTGTGTCAGTGTGTGTATTTGAGAGTTTGTGTCAGTGTGTGTATCTGTGTGTATGTATCAGTATGTACCAGTGTGTATTTGAGTGTTTGTGTGTATCTGTATGTCAATGTGTATCTGAGTGTTTGTGTCAGTATGTGTATCTGTGTGTCAGTGTGTGTGTATGTGTCTGTATGTCAGTGTCTATCTGAGTGTTTGTGTCAGTGTGTGTATCTATGTGTATATGCCAGTGTGTGTAAGTGTGTATCTGAATGTTTGTGTCAGTGTGTGTATCTGAGTGTTTGTGTCAGTGTGTGTATCTGTGTGTATGTGCCAGTGTTTATCTGAGTGTTTGTGACAGTGTGTGTTTCAGTGTGTATCTGAGCGTGTCTGTCAGTGTGTTTCTGAGTATGAGTCTATCAGTGTGTGTATCTAAAAATGTGTTTCTATGTGTGCATTTGTGTGTCAGTGTGTATCTGAGTGTGTGCGTGCGAGTGCATGGATCGGTTTGTCAGCATGCATCTGAGTGTGTGCATGCATGTATCTGTGTGTCAAGGTGTTCATACATGTTTGCGGGCTGTGTGTGTCTGTGGTGTGAGTGTTGCCTGCGTGCATGCAGGGGACAGGGGTCAGCGATGTAGATGGTGAAGAGCCACCTCCCTGAAATGTATTTTTCCAAGTTGGGATGTCTATATTTAAGGAACACTCCAAAGTTAAAAAACAAAATTCAGTTTTAGTGTTTGTAGAGTTTGTTTAACCCTATCTTTGCCTGATACCCTCCCATACAACACAAAATAAAGTTTACTCACCTTTTATACAAGCTCACCACAGCTTGGCTCCAGCACCAGTAGGTTGCAGTCTTCTCTTTCTGTCCAGATAAAATGCTGCAAATTGCTAAATTCTTATAGATCAGCTTCAGCACACAGCAGGAGCCAGACATCAGGGAGATACTCAAAAATGTACCATCAAAAGGGGACATGGCGAATATGCTTGCCAAACTGGAATCCTCCTTTCAATAGAATATGAAGGTTCTGGGATCTGCCAAGTTAGAGAAAGAGTGGGCTCCCTGGAGGGTGTCCTTAAGGGGTTAAATGGGCCCTAATGGCCATTAAATATCTGGGTGGTTTGCTTCCCAGCAATGTTGCAAAGACTTATGAGCTCAATTTCCCACCACTTATACAAGAAGTGACCCGTGATCTCAAGCAATGGCACAAGCCACACTTTACTTGGTTGTGCCAGGTAAATATTTTAAAAATGAATGTGCTTCCTCACTTTCTATACTTACTACAAGCGCTTACTAGATCCTTCACATAATCCTTTTTCACAGAATCCTAAAAACAGTTTACTTCATTTGTTTGAATCCCTTTCCTTACCCTGACCAGGCCTAATTCCATGGGGGGCTGCGACTCCCTAACCTTGAAACATATCAAAAGGCAATATGTCTAGCAAGGGTTTACAAGTGGTCAAACCCTAATACCACAAAACAATGGGTGAGACTGGAAGCCTCTGAAATAGATAAAAAATATTGATCTTTGATAGATTCAGAGGAAGCCTAAATTATTATTATTTCAAGTGCACTTGGAAAAGCGTGAATTAGACACCAGACGCATGTTGGTTATCAAAATAAACCTCTGACATTTATGTGTCAGTTGTGTTTTTATACATTAAAAAGTAAGTGTTTACGTGCAAATACTCATTGGACAGTAGTAGGAAGGGAGGGGGAGGGTGAAAAGAGTACAGATAATACATATGGATGACCGTCATGTACATATAACAAATAAGTTCAGAGAAAGAGAAAGAACAGAATGATTTGAGAAAAGACAGCTCAGGTAGGGGCTGCTCCCGGAACTAGACATATATGGTCTTAAGTGCTGTTTTAAGCATCAAGCATTCCAAGAGTCCAAGTTAGCCAATTTTAATATAGGTTATCTAATATGACACCTATAAGCTTGAACCTTGGAATCAAAGTAAATTCTATCACACCTCAATGTTCCGGGTACTGATATACACAATTACCTAGCATAAATCAGGCAGGGCATTCATACACCCACAACACACCACTCACCCCCCTGAGGGGCTGGATGAGCACGGGAAATCTAAAATCGATCTTGGCAAGCCCATCTTCTATATATCTGCTAACCCAGAACCCTCTATTTCAACCAGGGCTTTCTCCAAACGCATACAAGATGTCCTATACCTCAAGATACCTGACGCTGGGAGCTATGCAACACACCTCAGGGATTACGCCACTTACTACATTACTACCAGATGGGAATCCAACTTTGCTGCAACAGTTTAGATATACTCAACTGACACATTTCCTCATGTCATCGCTACCAAGCGGGACACCACCCAGTTTGAAACATATTGTACAACACACAAGATCACCTGTAAACATCTCTCCATATTCCATGCGCTGATTTGTCATGATCTCTACCATACAATTCCATCATACACCCAATCATAGGCCAAAGACCTAGCGATTGACATATCCCGAGAGGACTGGACAAACATATTTCTCTGAATGCACAAATCATCTAACAATTCCAAAGCTCAGGAAGGCAATTACAAATGACTCACGAGATGGCACTATGCACAAGCTCATTTACACACCCTCTTTCCGACAATGTCTGACAAATGATGGTGGTGCAATCAGGATAATAGCACTAAAACTCACATCTGGTGGACATGCCCAAAAATTGTTAAATTTTGGGAACACATAACTAAACTTCTCCACACCATTGCCGGGGTCCATATCCCACTTGACCAAAGGCCTGTGCTGTTCTATCTATTCCATGCCTAGACACACATCAATGTTGCTCACGCACCTACTGTCAGCCGCCAACCTCCTAATCCCCTTGCATTGGAAGAAACCTGAAGCACATACGATTCGGGAATGGATCCAAAAAGTGGACTCCATCATGGTCATGGAGGAGCCCAGCTTCTCCATTTCACTCAAGTACTCCCTCTATAAAAAGATCTGGAACCCGTGGATGGAATACATACAGAATGAACCAAGATCCTAAATTGTCATGATCCATCCTAAATACATTCCCTCCAGATAGAGTCTTTGTGTAGTCCCCTATCCTTCTGCTCTCACCCCCACCCTCCTCTCTTCGTTCCTGCTCTCGTCTAAGGCACACATTTGGATGGATATTCAGATCAATGAGATGTATGTATATCTATTCTTGTTAGCATACTTTCCTGCCAAAATATGCTATCAAACTGACAACTTTCCCATATACTACCATAGGTCCAGTACTATATACATCTTTGTCTATGTTACAATATAAATGTACAACCTCTGTTGATCATTACTCAACACATCGAATACATAGGTTACTCAAAGAACACACTGTGTTATGCCTCAAGTAGAGTTGAGTGAACCCGAACTGGAAAGTTTGGGTTCGTATCAAACATTACGGTTTTTGGACCCCGGACCCGAACACGGACATTTCACTGTATGTTCGGGTTGGAGTTCGGTGTTCGGCGATTTAATGTGCGGTGGGTGGGGGCCCTAAATAAGATTGGGGGGACCTACTGTCCTCCCCCCAGCCCCCACCCCTGGGGGGGGCCCTAAATAAGAATGAGTGGGGGACCTACTGTCCTCCCCCCCCGTCCTCCAACCCTGCATGGTGGGTGGGGGCCCTAAATAAGATTGAGGGGGAGGGGCTTACTGTCCTCCCCCCGACCCCCACCCCTGCACGGCGGGTGGGGGCCCTAAATAACAATGAGGCGGGGACACCTACTGTCCTCCCCCCGGCCCCCAGGTTGCTTTCCAGGTTGTTGTCAAATGCAGTATTATATATAATTTGGCCACACGCAATGTGGGTAAAATAAAAAAGTACATAAACATTCAGCACTAAAAATATGATATCCTAAGCTACTAGCCAAGTCTAAAATTTACTCTCCATCTTATGATGTTGCATGCATCATTTCACAATGCATGGTGTGCATGTTATAAGATATATATGTATATATATATTTTTATATATATATATATATATATATATATATATATATATATATATAATAAAAGTAGTTGCTTTGCACTCTCCTTGAAAGGATAATAACAAAAATCTTGCCTGGGTGCTGATCTACTTGCATCCAAAATATAGAGAAAAAGTAATCCAGTCTGCACTCACAGGTCTTTTACGCTTATAAATGGTGCTTTATTTGTGAGAAGTTACATACAGTAAATCGATTGACGTTTCGACCCTGCCGTGTCTTTTTTAAGATCACTGAATGCAATAACAACTGTGCTTATATATCAAATATAAAAATATAGACTCACCAATATAAGAAGTGAAGTGTCTCTGCCCATTACCACCCGGAAGTGAAAGGAAGCCGCGAGTGACGTCAGAATCTATTGACGCATACTAATATTGTATGATTAGATGAACGCTCACTTCGGGCGTGTACAACCTCCTCTTTTCTCTCATACTGAGATTGCATTGACCCATTAGTCATTCTTATCACGTTCACATTTGTTGTCTAGTAACCATGGGAACCACGTTTTCTCCTCTGTGAGCGTTCATCTAATCATACAATATTAGATTCTGACGTCACTCGCGACTTCCTTTCACTTCCGGGTGGTAACGGGCAGAGACACTTCACTTATTCTTTTGGTAAGTATATATTTTTATATTTGGTATATAAGCACAGTTGTTATTGCATTCAGTGATCTTGAAAAAGACACGGCAGGGTCGAAACGTCGATCGATTTACTGTATGTAACTTCTCACAAATAAAGCACCATTTACAAGCTTAAAAGACCTGTGAGTGCATCCTGGATTACTTTTTTCTACATATATATATATATATATATGTAGAAAAAAGTAATCCAGGATGCACTCACAGGTCTTTTAAGCTTGTAAATGGTGCTTTATATATATATGGTGCTTTATATATATATTACACACCCTGATGAGCCACAACATTAAAACCGCTTGCCCAATATCTTGTAGGTTCCCCTTGTGCTACCAAAACAGGCATGGACTTCACAAGACCTCTGAACATGTCCTGTGGTATCTGGTACTAAGACATTAGCAACAGATCCTTTACGTCCTGCAAGTTGCAAGGTGTGGCATAAATGGATCAGATTTGTTCTTCTAGCACATCCCACAGATGCACAATCGGATTCAGATCTGGGGAATTTGGAGGCTAAGGCAACCACTTTGTCATGTTCCTCAAGATATTCCTAAACACTTTCTGCAGTGTGGCAGAGTGCATTATCCTGGTAAAATAGGCCACTGCCATCAGGGAACACCGTTACCATGAAGGTGTGTATATGGTCTGCAATAATCTGTAGGTAGGGGGAACGTGTCAAAGTAACATCCACATAAAAAGCCAGGAGCCAAGGTTTGCCAGCACAATGTTGCCATGAGCATAGCACTACCTCTATCAGCCTGCCTTCTTCCCAAGAGTTTCATCTCTTCCCAGATATACAATGCACATGCCAAGCCATCCACCTTATCTAAATGAAAACATGATTCCGAAGATTAGACAACCTTCTTCCATTGCTCCATTGTCCGGGTCTGATGATCGCAAAGTCATTGTAAGTGTTTTAGGTAGTGGAAAGGGCACTCTAAATAGTATGTGGCTACAAAGCCTCATACACAGCAAACTGTAATGCATTATATGTTCTGACACCTTTATTTCATAGCCATAATTTATTTTTTGGTAGTTACTTTTGGTAGTTACTAACTAACTAACATACTAGAAACAACCCACAAGACTAGCTGTTTTGAAGATGCTCATCTAGCCATGAATATTTGGCCCTTGTCAAAGTCACTCAGATAATTTCGCTTGCCCATTTTTCCTGCTTCCAATGCATGAAATTCAAGAACTGACTGTTCACTTGCTGCCTAATATATTCCACCTCTTGACAGGTACCATTGTAACAATATACTCAATGTTATTTACTTCACCTGTCAGTCGTTTTAATGTGGCTGATAAATGAGTGTATATATACACCGGTATATATAAAAAAAAAACAGTCAAAATACAAAGTCCCAGTGGGTTCAATAAACAATATTAGATACTCTAACACCTAGGCAGGATCCCCTTAACCCTCAACGACAAATACACAATATAAATAAAAACAAGGTGGAGTATCTTACATATAGTTTAAATGTTCCAAGGAATCAAGGAATGGGGTCCTATAAGGGAAATAGGAAAAGCAAACATTAGTGCAATATTGCCTGCATATGAAGATGAAGTAAAATAGAAGTAGGTATTTCACACTCACAAGTGTGGAGCCAGTAGATGTTGGTGGTATTTGATGGTATTCACCACTCCAGGAATTTTCCAAAATGTTATATTTATCCAAACAATGTTAAAAATAATAAGACAATATATAGTAAAATAAAAAGTGCTTACACAATGTTGGTAAGTTCTTTCAAAGTGCAAAATGTTTCACCCCTCCTGGGGGGCTTCCTTAGTTGCTATAGTCCAATGCTTCTTGTTGCCTTGTTTTAAATCTTTAAATGCTCGCCGTTTTCCAGGTGTTATCGGTTCCAGGATGATACTTCCGGGTCTGCGTGCACTGGATTTCCATGAGTCCGACGTGTTTCCATGTGTCTAACGTGTTTCCGGTTTTTAAGGTCTTTAAGGTTTGTCTGAGCCAATAAATGGTCTCTCAATTTTAAGTTATACAAGATTTTTCAGAATGTGTCTCCTACATATATAATATGGTAGGGACATGATAAGATCAAATATTCTAACAATTGATTGGTCTGAACACCAATTATAAAGTTGAATCATCAATCAGAAACTGATGATTCTGGAGTACATATTGTACACTGTTAAATAGTATGTACAATCTTATTTCCAGAATGCAACAATCTCCACCAATCATATAGTCCAAACACATGAATCAACTGTGAACATGACTGTGCCATCTTTGAAGTAGCATTAACCTCTGAACTGCGTAGTTGTTCTATGGTGGTATCACGATCATAATCCATCACAAAGTTGGTATCACCACAGATATGCTTTCCCCTTTTAAGTTTGTTTATTTTGTATAAAAGAAACTGTAAATATTTAACCGGTCCATAATTGGGAAAATCTAGATTAGCTATTGAATAAACAATGTTATTAATTGTGCAGCACCAAATCATGTATCTGCCATTTTTGTAATTTTCTCTGTAGCGCAAGCTATATTTTTATTAAACAGAATCGATAACCTTCTAGCCTTTTTCATAAAAACTGAAGACATTGTGTCATATATGGTTTAGGCATTAAATTTGGTAGAGTGCCTGTCTTAAAATGAGTCTTATGAACACATAGGACATTTGCCTTTTGTGTTTTTGATTCTTTAAAAAAAAAAGAATCTCCCACTTACATTAGGGAAAATGCATTTAATACTCATGGAGTATATATATATATATGTATATATATATATATAATACACAAGATCCAGCGCACTCACCTATCCACTAAACAGCAACTTCAATGTTGAAAGATTTTATTTGTTTTTTTAAAAACACCTAATCTAGGCAAAAATAATGGGGGTTTAGTTACATTATATGATCATACATTGCATAAGCCTGCCACAGCGTCAATGTACCCCATCTTTGGCAGGTCCTACACTAACAGCCTAATGTCTGCTCTTATGAGATTAACCTACTTGGGGAAAGAAATTCCATCTGGGGCTCTCTGCAGTACAAGGCTAAATAGGGCCCTGGGATGAGGCACCTGTGACAGGGAGGGGTGCAAATACCCCCATTATTTTTGCCTAGATTAGGTGTTTTTAAAAAAACAAATAAAATCTTTCAACATTGAAGTTGCTGTTTAGTGGATAGGTGAGTGCGCTGGATCTTGTGTATTGTATTATTTGGCCCCCAGCAGCACCCCATTTATGCATGTTAAGGTGAGTGCAGCCAACCCCCTCTTGTTTTATATATATTTGGGAGTCTAGCCAACTCCTTGGTTTTGCACCCCTCCCTGTCACAGGTGCCTCATCCCAGGGCCCTATTTAGCCTTGTACTGCAGAGAGCCCCAGATGGAATTTCTTTCCCCAAGTAGGTTAATCTCATAAGAGCAGACATTAGGCTGTTAGTGTAGGACCTGCCAAAGATGGGGTACATTGACGTTGTGGCAGGCTTATGCAATGTATGATCATATAATGTAACTAAACCCCCATTATTTTTGCCTAGATTAGGTGTTTTTAAAAAAACAAATAAAATCTTTCAACATTGAAGTTGCTGTTTAGTGGATAGGTGAGTGCGCTGGATCTTGTGTATTGTATTATTTGGCCCCCAGCAGCACCCCCATTTATGCATGTTAAGGTGAGTGCAGCCAACCCCCTCTTGTTTTATATATATTTGGGAGTCTAGCCAGCTCCTTGGTTTTGCACCCCTCCCTGTCACAGGTGCCTCATCCCAGGGCCCTATTTAGCCTTGTACTGCAGAGAGCCCCAGATGGAATTTCTTTCCCCAAGTAGATTAATCTCATAAGAGCAGACATTAGGCTGTTTGTGTAGGACCTGCCAAAGATGGGGTACATTGACGTTGTGGCAGGCTTGTGCAATGTATGTTCATATAATGTAACTAAACCCCCATTATTTTTGCCTAGATTAGGTGTTTTTAAAAAAACAAATAAAATCTTTCAACATTGAAGTTGCTGTTTAGTGGATAGGTGAGTGCGCTGGATCTTGTGTATTGTATTATTTGGCCCCCAGCAGCACCCCCATTTATACATGTTAAGGTGAGTGCAGCCAACCCCCTCTTGTTATGTATATATATATATATATATATATATAAATTTATATATATATATATATATATATATACATATGATAATTATTGCATTTGAATGATAATAGGATTTTTTAAAGGAGACTATTACTAAAGTACCCCCAACCTCTTTTAGAGAAATTGAACACATACTCACATTCATATTCACATACACTTATATTTAAATTCACACACTTATATATTTTGAATTTATAGTTAATGATTGTGCCAGTCTGTGATACTCCAATATCTGTTTAAATAAATGGACAACCAACATTAAATTAATACTGTAACCTAGGTTTTTCAACATGTATGACATATATATTATGTTTCATAATATATTAGTTTTGTATATCTCTTAGCAGTTAATGCACTCCTCAGAAACCAAAGACTATGCTCTCCAAGGAAGCATTCTCAACCATATGTTATTTCCAGAATGTACAGATATATAATTGTTTCTTTAACATATGTTTTAATATTTTTCACCATACGTTACATATAGTAAATATATTAAAATGCATAATTAAAAGAATTAATCGTATAAATATCATATTATATACTGAAAAAGATTATGTCATGTAGCAAAAGAATAAACAGAAATTGTAATTTTCCAAGAAATATCTTGCATTATAGTAAATATTTATAATATACTGTTAAACAATACACATATCCCCATATTTAACTCAGCTATCAATGTTCCCAACTTTCATTGATAATGATAAAAATGCATTGTTCTCTTATGATATGGAAGGGGCAGTCTTTTTGCATAATATGTTTAATAACAATAGGTAGGATCTTTTTTTGTTTGTTTTCTCTCCTCCTCCCTCTCTACTGTGTTTATATTCCTTTTTAAAGCTCCATTATCATCCTCTCTCGTCCCTCCCCTTCTTCTTTAGTGTATTCTTTTTTTTTTATATCATGTGTTTTCTTTATGGGTTTTTATAGTTGTTCAATGCTTGCTTGACAGCTTATTTCTAAATGTGCACTTTTGATGACCACCCACTTTTTCATTTTTTTTTCTTTTCGGGTGAGTTACTATTTTTTTGTCCCACTTTTGAAAATTGTAATAATTTGTGTTCAGTGTTTAGGAGAGAGAGGGAGTCACCTTGTTCCTTCTTCTCCTGTGTCCGATCACAGTATTCCTTTTGTTGCCATGAATTCTCCTGCTGTGTGTATTATGTTATCTTTCCCTCCAAATATATTACTTATTGCAATACTTTAATTATCCTCCACGTTATTCAATTAGTAACTATTGTTTTTCCTGAATAAAAAAATCAATTTTTCTCAATCGTCTTCTTCCCTCTGACTACTCAATTTATTTGCAAATATTATTAGTCTCTGAAAAATGTGTGATTGATTTTCTTAGAAATACAAGTTAATATTTGTCAGTTGAACATCACTAGTAAGAAGAATGCAAGCAGATTAAAGTGGTAATTTGTTTGAACATTTAAAGTACACAATTCAACTTCAGAACAGTCAATAAAAAAATAAATGTAGTGATGATTACATTTATATTTTGAAGATGTGCATACAATATAATAAACAAACTTCCCAAGGGAATTGTGACATGGTGTAACATTCCTCTGTAGTAGTTTTGGTGGTAGGTGCCAGAAACGACCAGACCGATCTCTTGGTAAGTAGATCAACTGTTTGAAACCGGAGGCCAGCTCTATCTTTGTAGCCTGAAAGATGCAATACTGAACTGAGCTTGGCAGTGCTCAGCTGATGCTCTCAACCAATGAAACAACCATACACTGCAGGCATAGCTCGGAGCAGCTAACTGAAGGTCCACGCAGTATTTTCCATGCTCCAGAAGAAGAGGTAACTGGCACTCGATAGACCCCAGGTAAGTTGTCATATCATTCTAAATGGTGTACCTACTTACAACTACATTGGTTATGGTGATTGGACTGTTCCTTTAAACCTCACGCTACACTTATGACTATGTTTTGGTATGTATGTAATAAATACACTGTACAGAAAAAATGTCCAGCTCAGTGCATGTAGCATAAAAGTGAAATTGCAATTTCTAGTAAGTCCAGTTATGTTATAAGGTTTAGATGTGAAAAATGTCTAATTCCATAAAGATGAAATATTCAATATGGAACAGAGCTTCAGGTTTGAACAAAAATTACAAGTGATACATACGATAAACAACTTTTGCTGTTTGGGAATTAAAATATATGTTTTATGCTAAGAAATATTAATTATTTTATTTTATTTTATTTTAGAAGATATGTGTTCTGCTAGCTACGTTCTAACAGTAGTCACGATACACAGTGAGTCAAAAGTCAGGAACTATTTAAAAACCTTCAAGATACTTGTTGCTAATATATGATTACAGACTGTCTGGTGGTTGACTTATTTGGGATATCCAATTTTAAAGCCTAAAAGAGTGATCAGTCAACAATTAAGTTGTTTTGTAATGTTAAAATCAGCTAAATTCCTTGGTTTAATGATTTGACATACTTAATTTATTATTTTTCAAACTATTTTAATTGAAGAGTGTTTTAAAAAACATATTTCACATTAATTTGGTATCTAAAGAAATTTACATTTAATAATAGAAACGAGTAGAAATAAGAAGGGAAGGTAAAAAAATAATGATCAAAAATAAATACTTTTTTTTTAAAAGGGTGGGGGACGGGTATTATCCAAATGTATAATAATAAAATTGTGGATTTGTTCCTGTCCAAATATAATACAAAGAGTAATATAACCAATTGTATGTCTAAATATATTGTCTATCAATATGTAACAGGGCATGTGGAATTGTCTATAAGAGAAACTCTTTACTTATATAATTTTCCCAGGTGTCCCAATGAAACTGCAAATTCATTTTTTGAGGTGAGGGTTACTACAACACCAGTTCATACCTTTTGTTATCGAGCACTAAAGTCAGTGCTTCCTTAATTGATAGTAACGTAGTAGACTTCCAATAGCAAGGTATGATCAACGTGGCTGCAATAAGAATGTGACCTACCTTGATTCTATCAAATTTGCTTGTATTAGGGAGATTTTTTATGTAAATATGATTTTTATAGTTTTTTTTTTAAAAAAATCTGTTATAATAACAATAACAATACGATCAGATATAAAACAGTTAAGCTATCAGACAAAATGGAGAAGCTGCTCCCCTACTAACCCTTCCCCCGCTTCCTTTGTTCAAGTAACGTCTCTCTCTAGAAACATGCCACGTGTAGTAAAATGGAGCTGGAATGGGGCTGGGATACAAAGAAATGTCATGTGATGATGCTGGGGTCATGCCCAGTAGGGTGGGTTTAGAAAAGACCCCTTTGACTGTTAACCAATTGTTGAATGTATACTTTATGTTAACTGTGACTCTGTACATGACATATTTTTGCTTTAAAAGGGGGTCCCACCCCTTGGAATAAAGCATTTCTATAGTCTTTCATTGACCAGCAACTTGTGTCCATTGTGAATTACTCTAAGGAAGCATGCACGCAATTAATTGATCAATTTAGAAAGGAGTAGATAGACAAATAATCAAATATTTGATTTAATCTTTAAGTAGGACTCACAGGTCTTTCAGGTCATATTACACCATGTTCAGATCGGGCTTATTACCTTTCATTAGGGTTATATTTTCTGTTTGCAGGTGGTTGGTGTATGTATGTAGTATTCCTATTATGTTATGTGACCGTGGTTGTCATCCTAGTGTGTTGTGTTTTCCATAGCGTCCATATAGTGAGGTGTGTTAGTTTCCAACGCGGTCCATTGCTGTCATCATTTTGATGTTGCCTGAGGTGGACACATAGGACCGTTACCACACCCCATCACACTTTTATCTTTTATTCCACTTATCTATACTGAGAGATAGGGTAACCCGTTATGGGCGTGTTGTTGTTCCATGTGAGGTTTACTGCCCAGCCCCGCTGTGTGTGTGTGTGTGTTTGTTAGCTGTTTCTACCACAAAGCTTGTGTTTGATGTTATCCGTAGGTGTAGGTGTGTGTGCTTTACGTATGTTTGAGGAAGTGTGTCCCTGAAGTGTCTAGTCTATTCGTTCTCCTATTGTCTCACGCTGTATTCTTATCATTGAGCGTGTGTGTAACTTTTTTTTTTTTGGGGGTAGTCACGATATGGGAAGTTATCTTGTGTGTTTTGGTTGGGTGTATGTATGGTCAAAGTTGTGTCTCTTTCTCAGGTTTCTGAGGTTCGTGCCCCATTCCATATGTTTGCAAGGATGTCCAGTCTCGTCTGTTGTCCCCAAATTTAGTAGTTTATCTTGGAGGTGGGTGTCTTCCCGTCTGTGAGTGTCTTTTCTTGCCTTACTATGAAGTTGTGTGGGGGGTCAAGGGTGTATTTTATATCATGGCAGTATGATGATAATGGTAAAAAGTGTAAGTGTATGAAGTTGGGTGAGATAAAGTAGGATGGGGCAGGATGGGGTGTGCGGGGGAGCTATGGGGGGATTGGCTGCTCTTCCTCAGTCCCTGGTCCCACCAGCCGTGCCGCCAAGCCCCGTTTGCTATGTACATTATCCAGGGTTGCCATCTGTCTACGTATTTTGTGAGTGTACCCACTCTTCTGTGGATCTGATGTCTTCTACTCTGGTAAGCCATTGTTCAACTGTGGGAGGTTGGGTTTGTTTCCAGAGGATAGGTATTAATGCCTTGGCTGCGTCTAGGAGATGTGGGAGGATAGACCGTTTGTATTTCTAATTGGTTCTTGTGTATAGTGGAGAAGTATGTTTTCCATTGTAAGCTGCGTTGTGTCTCCCAGGATGTCTTTGATGCGAGAGATGATCTGGTTCCAAAATGGTTGGATTCTCTTATAGGGAGATTTTTTAATAAAACCACCTTTGGAGAGAATGTTGTAATTGACGGATCGATCTTTTTAATCAGTGAATGTATTCCATGCCAAAACGGCTGCAAGTTTGCACAGTGCCAACATATATCTGAAAGCATACAAAGACCTCCATAACCCCTCCAACACCTATCTGAATATTTTGTGCTCATTTTATGAAGTCTTGAAGGGGCCAGGTGCCACCGGTATATCATTTTGTAGTGATTTTCTATATGGTTGGAACACTGTGTGATCCCTTTGAGAGATGATGTGAGTGCAAGCTATTCCTCCAGGTCCCATTGCTGACCGAAATCTTTTTCCCAGGCTAGATTATAATCTGGTTTTGGACTTTAGAACCCTTCAGGCCACTTACCACATACCCCCAGCCTCACAGTTCTCACATACGCAATAAAAATAATTTCTGCACAAATATGATACGCAGATCTCTTACCGGGACAAGGCCTCTAGGACTGTGAAGGGATGGGAACAGTTGGCTATTAGAGGTTTGCTCTTACCACATTGTAGAGTCTAGCCACTCCGACTCTCGGGACCTCCCACATTGAACAGCTGTTGGCCATGTCTCATCAGCAATAGGTAATTAAATGGAACAACAAGATGCTCATGTTCACAGGCTCTTGACGACGACATTTTTAACACGCCGAAATGCTCGTTGCAAATATTCTTTTTCTTCAATAACTGCACTTGGTAACACTTTTTTATTTTTGTTACCACTATGGTTATTGATTTATAGGTGTTTCTTTATTTATTTATAACTTTAGTAGGGAGAGTTGTTTCATGCAGACAGTGGTCAGACTACGAAGTAACTCTTAGGGTGAATTGATTTTTTTCTTTGAGGCTTTTCATCTGCATTTAGACCAGATTATCTGGTCCCTTGTGCTCTGTGGACACACTGGAGTTTAGTATTACAAATCAATTTATTCCATCAATGTAAAAAATATATATAAAATTATAAAAATGAACTTTCCATATATCAAGTAAAAATGTATCTTTGAAAAAATCACAGATTATGCCATAAGAAGTCCAGACCTTATTTGAAATGCTCGGCGTCCCGAGTCAGCAGACTGGTGGTGCTGAAAGGTATCAAACAACAATCTTCTCTTCAGTATGGGTGATGGCTAATGATGATGAGAGTCAGACCTCCATATGCGTTTCTCCGCTTCGGCGGCTTTCTCAGTGGATGCGGTCTGTCTCCTGGTGCTCGTTTATATAGTGTCTGCCGGCTTTCTTTTAACCGGGACATATTATTTAAAAAACTGTGTGTGTTACAGTATATTGCTAATAGCTAAGTATCTAACTGACTGACAACATTTCTTACAACACAGAAACTCTTTAGTCTTATATTAAAAGTTCCTACTAGTCTTTTAGTCTGCACATTGTGTCATTTATTGTTTAACTATCGTTGCTATAGTAACCCACGCTTGAACGGGTTTAAATGCAACTGCCATTTATTCTCGATCTATTAAACAAAGAAAGGTGGAAATAAGGTGGAATAAAAGTGTATGAGAGAATTCTTTCCTTAAAACATATTCTATAACTTATTAAAAAATAAGTGACTAGATTCAAGCTGAAAAAATATATAGATTATAGAAAATTACTGAAAAAACTAATATCCAAATGTATATTGCAATTACTATAAATTGATTCACTACATCTTAGATATGAGCTTAGGATCAATGCAAAATATATAGACTATATAATTAACGAAGGGGTGTGTTACTCTTAAAGGGACCAACCCTGTATAACTAAGTGCATATCTCATTGGATTTAAAAAATCCTAGATAGGTGAAAACTCTTCCTAGACCACCCATAGAAGTTAGAAAAATGTGTATATATATATATATATATACACATTTTTCTAGCTTCTGTGGGTGGTCTAGGAAGAGTTTTCACCTATCTAGGATTTTTTAAATCCAATGAGATAGACCACCCACATTTTTCTAGCTTCTGTGGGTGGTCTAGGAAGAGTTTTCACCTATCTAGGATTTTTTAAATCCAATGAGATATGCACTTAGTTATACATGGTAGTTACCCTTTAAGAGTAACACACTCCTTTGTTAATTATATAGTCTATATATTTTGCATTGATCCTAAGCTATATATATAACTACACTGAAGATGGGCTAAAAAGTAAATAAATAACATAACATAAAAAGGAGATAACAATTAAGGTGCACACTTAAGAAGTGAGAAGAAAATATAAAAATAATAAAAATAAAATA